CAACGCCCACAATAGGGCTAAAGCGCCACCTGCTGTAAAACGAATGAAATGATTAGTTCAAGATTCGTTCACGACTCGTTCATTTTACTGTTCGAGAGTCAAAGATTCGAATCAATAAAAAAAGTCGGTCTTCCCATCACTACTGTTCTTGACCTACTACAGACTCTATCTTGGCGTCGACTTTCAGTTCACGTCCGACCCCTTGAGGTGAGGCAGAGTACTGTTTGCCTCCCCTGCTGACTTTTCTATGCACTTTATTGGCTGGAACAGAAACGAGCCCGTGTCATGTGACCCAGTTTGATTGGATCGCACAGTCAGAAGAGAGGCATTTGAATGCGAAACACTCGAATTCGGCGATTTTTAATTAAATATCAAAAATGTGTGGAGTCATACTGAAAATGCATCTTTGACACAGATCAGTGGAAAATATTAATATTTATTTTCTGTACTTTTTTCTCTTCTTTTTTTTTATTGTGATGGCAAGTGAGACACTGCCTCCCCTGACCGCACGTCACTGATGGTAATAAACAAATACTCACTGAAAATACTACGTTTGCACAGAGGACACGTGTGTTGCAGTAGCAGCCAGGGGTCCACACAGTCTCTGTGGTACTCATGAAGACAGGGCAACACCCGCAGACACTGTGAAGACAACAGTCGCCACACGTGATCACAACTTTACATTTCATTTTAAATCTACTGTGGCGCGAAACACAATTTTAAAAAGTTTTAAAATTGTATTTCCATTTATTAATGTAATTGTTCATAGAATTAATATGTAAAGTAAAGTAAAAGAAATGTCTTACTTATGGATATTAACTGCTCTGAAAAAAAATATTATTTTATGTAAAATATTTTAAGTCAATTTAAGGTAAAAGTGAATTATGTTAATGCAAATAAAATCTACTTGACTACAATAGAGGAAATACAGATATGGATATGTCTAAAAAAATAAATCGTTCAGTCTTTGCATCACTTCAACACTGAGGTCACTGTATTGTTATTATTATTATTATTATTATTATTATTATTATAAACTGACTCAGTATAAGAAATGTTCATTCACCTGATTGTTGTTGAATGGCTCCAAACAGACAGCACAGCTGTCAACCTCTACCTGCTGACTGGTGTCACACCAAGACTTAGGCTGACGGAACGTTCTGGTCTTTAGAGACGACAATCTCTTCAGAATGTCCTGTTTGGGAAGAAGCTGGAGACGCAGAGAGACACCTTTAGGATCACTCCAGGAACTACAAGAAGTACAATCTGTTACATGACTTGTGATAATTCACTGAACATGGGAGACACAAACTCACACACCTCTGTGTCATTGTTCTGCTGTTGGTCCTGGTATTGCCAACGTGCTTGGAAGATGACTCCAGTGCTGAGGATTAGCGCCACCAGGAGGACAGTATCCCACAACTGCTTCAGGTGTTTCTACAGACACGGAGGCAGAAAAACACTGTTTAAACATGTGTCTTAGAACTTTATGACTGATTAAACGCAGCGGTGTCTGTTCGGCCTCTACACCTGGACCTGGGAGTTGGTTTCTCCAGTGCAGATGACTCCCTGCCACTCTCCGTAGCGTCCGCCCCTCGATCGACCGCAGCTTGACCACAGCGTGAGCGTGGCTCCCTGCCCGGACACACATTAGCAAGTAGCAGTATGTGCTCAGTGTCAGCTCACCACTGGAGGGTGCTACTGGCTAAAAAACATACAGTCAGACGTTTGTTACAGAGCTCACCAGGTTGTCACGCAGGAAGGTCTTGTATGTGATTTTGGCTGTTGCCTGAAGCCCCCTGTGAACAGACGATAAGGCCGGTCAACGCGTCACTCATGGCGGATTCAGACGGTTTCCATGTCAACCAGATTCAGGGCTCTGATACGGCGCTTAAGTTAGTTAGTTTTATTTTACACAGCGAAAGGCAACGTAAACGTGCTAAAGTAATAGCTATCGTTAGCATTAGCGGAACAACAACAACAACAACAAAAGTTTTATTTACCTGAGTAGAGCCCCAATCAACTTAGTAACATTTTCAGAAGTCTGGATAACAATGATGGGCTTAGACAGCACCTGTGACAGATCCATCTGCAGCACAGAGGAGATGTTTTTATACGTCAATTTGTCATTGTATTTGTTTAAAATGTTGCACTGAAGATATACATATATATACACACACATATATGTATGTGTATGTGTGTATATATACATATATATATACATATATGTATAAAATTAATTTATTTAACCTCAGAGACGGTGTTTTGATTGAGAGCTAAAATGATCAGGGCTGAAGCTCCGAGGACCAAGGCCCGCTTCATCTGAAACATAAAGAACAGACTACATCAGTCTGACCACTCGGTTATCGAACTATGTTTCCAGACAGCATTTCATCCTCAGTGACCTCACTGACTTTATTGACCACTGCATCAGCAAATGACTCCTGATTCCCAGTGGATGACTTGTTATCATCCATCTCCACAGGCACCAGTCCAATCCATGGCTCCTGCTCTTTGGTATCATCCTCCTCTTTACCTTCACTCACCTTCGTCTCCTCATCCTGAACCTGAGCAAAAACAGACATTCCTGTTAATACAATAACTTTACACCACACAATTTAGCAGGCTTAAAAAATAATAATAAAAAATACCAAAAGCATGTTTTGTCTATTAGCGACATTTGTTTGTTTTTTGTTTGTTTGTTTTTTTACCAAGTAACCTTTTAAATATAAAACACCAGTTTCTCAATAACTTTGTACTCATTGTGATGACCGTCAGGTGTCACGTTAAGTAGAACAAGAACCCTCACATCATAAACTTAAAATGAACTGACCAGGACTAGCTCTCCGTCCAGCTCCTCTCGGTCCTCGGAGCTGCCGCTGTCCCCGCTGGACTCCACCACCTCCCCCTGAAGTACAGTGTTGACACCGGGCCGCTGCTCCAGGAAAACCTCCACCTGAGCGACCTGCTCAGCTGCCGCTGGCAGCAACAGCAGCCACGGCCACCGCAGCAGGAGCAACGGGACCGTTACCCAGATACAACGGAAGTAGAAACTCGGAGACATGGTCCAACAAACAACAGCGGGAAACAGGAACTAAAAACTGTGAAGGATCCCCGGTTCTAAACGATTGTCAGTCGACATTTTACTAAAAACCTGACAGCGTTTTGTTCGCCAAAGCTTTGAAAGAATGTAAACAAGCCATGGTAGAGCTTCCGGCGTTAACCGGAAAACGAGAGAGGGTCACCATCTCGACTTAAAGGTACAGAGAGTATTTACAATTAGTATTATATTGGTATTTGCTATCAGAAGTATTAATTCTTGATGGTATTACTCCAGTTTATTTTTTTAGTACAGATTTGTTCGGTAAAACAAAATGTGTCATCTATGTTAATACAATTTATTTATGTCGTACTTAATAATCTCCAAGACGATTTAACGAATCGTTTAAGCAAGAATAGTTTTAGCAATACGAAACATTGCTGTGGCTCAGGCTGGCTAACGTAAGTTCAAATTCTGTAACGATTTATTGACATTTCTTCTTTAAGCTTCTCTATTTAGTGGTTAATTAAACTAATCTCCTAGGCTTCACTTTTTCCTAATCATTCTAATCACCTCCAAAGGAACTCTTAATATTATAATTCTGTGAATATGTATTAATTACATCATAGCAGGTCTCATTATCATCTTACAGACGTTCTCTTTTCATCTTGCTGTGATTGTTGTCACTCATCACTTCTCAATTCTTCAACTAAGCAATAGTTACATAACTAAGCCTAGAATGATCCTATATCAATTTTGAAGAAATAAGCGTTTTCAAGTTGGGCGTGGCTTTTACGTGTTTTTGTTCGGAGTGATCCTCTTGTCATTTCTCCTATCTTTGGCTGTCAGCTGGTTGGGCTTCAAGAGTAACGAGCGGAGCAAGGATCGTATTTTCATATCGTTTTCCACCTGCAGCCGGCAGCTCAAAGACGGACAAACGCCTATAAGAGGATTCTGAAGCCAGAAGAAGAGCATCACGGTGTCGATTAACGGTGGTTAACGGAGCTGCGTCTGCCCGTTAGCATTAGGTCCATTAGGTAAACGGAGCGCCGTCCTTCCCACATCATCACCAGGTCATGAGCGGAAGAGTCGGAGACCTCAGTCCTAAACAGGCTGAAGCGCTACAGCAGGTGAGTGGGAAATAAAATCCAAACATTTTAAATGAATTACAAAAAGGTTCAAATCAGATTCGCACACATCCCCCCCAATTATACATTAATATTCAAACACAGTTTACAGTTTGTAGTTCAAAGCTAACGTTTTATCTGTCAGTTTCTTAATGTTTTAAGGATGTAACAACGTAATAGGATGTAACAACGAAGACGATTCATTGTTGAATAATCAGTGACTTTTGTTTTGTTTATTTAATCATGTTACTTATTTAGGCTGTAATGATTTGACCATTGGTTCAAACTGAAGGACGTGTACCACTGGCGGTACTTTAAACTCCCCTAGTGGTGCACGGGATTCTGTAAGTGACTTTGTTGTTCTGAATATTTAGGTAAACTAAATAAACAATAAAAAAACAACAACAATAGCTTTAGCTCCTGCTATAATTTAACAGTCATCACAGTCTTTCTCAGCAGCTTCCAACAGTGACAGTGACTCATCATTAAGCCGTATTGCCTCACTGTTAACAGTAGTGCAGCTTAGAAGCTAATTCCTTAATAATCCATCATCTGTAAATCTGTGAAGGTTCTTAGTCTTCTACAGGGGTGCATTCCTCTTTTTTTATTCAGAACGTTTTCATTCCAATAATGTGTAGCAACATGTCTTTTAGGGTGTTTTGACAGTAATTAAATATTAATATTTACCCTCATGACTCATCATTTGTGTGTCACCACAGTTGTGTGGTGGCTACGGTGAATGCTAGCGTTAAGTGAAGTTACTAACTTCTCTTTACCACTTGGTCCCAATTGTACTGTACAATACTGTTCACCACAGTACATGAACTCTAAGATAATGTTATCAGCGTACATTGATACCAGTATCTAATGAAGTCATCCTGTTAATCAATAACTTCCAGGCAGTGATTAAAACCTCATTGTCAATGTGCGTATAATTAATTCACATAATTCATTTTTTAAAATAATTTTATCCATACAGAACAAAAAGAAAAACTAGTGGGCCTGTGGGCCAAAACAGCCCACAGGACCACAGGCCAGCTTGATAAATTTTGAAAATAAAAAAATTAAAATACATAAACGCTTCAGGTTCAGGATATCAGAATTGTATTTCATTAAATATAATGATAATAATAACAAATATTTAATATATTGATTGATTGTACTGGTTCGGCCCACTTGACATCTAATTAGGTTGTATGTGGCCCGTGAGCCAAAATGAGTTTGACGCCGCTGCTCTACTGTGTTTATACCAAACATCCAGTCCACATGAAAGTGTATAAATCACAACTTGTGACTATGAGTCACAAGTTCAAACCCCGTGAATTTAAAATGAAAAGCTCTACAGTCAGAATCAAAACAACATTTATTGGCCATAGGCAGGTGACTGTATTAGTGTTTTTAGCTTCAGGATCCTAGTGTTACTGCACTCACGCAGCCCATCATGTCGTTCCTAATTATGGACCACAACAGTCAATTAAACCCCCTTCCCACTCCTGTCTTTGACCATAGTTTCGAGAGAGGATACAAGACATTCTTCCTCAACTTCCTGCACAGCATGACCACTTCCTGTTACGCTGGCTCAGAGGTAAGTGGAAATGCGACACCTACACTTCCTCTTTGGCCTCTGTAAATAAATCTAGTTCCTGTCGTGATTAAGGTAAAAAAAATCCCTTCCACGTCAGTGTATCAGCTGGTGTGTCAGGCAGAAGCTGCAGAGCTTCATCACATTAAGAGATATTTCGCAACACATGTTGAGAGTGTTTGCATTTTGAGGAAGAGAGTTGCATGTTTTTTTGCTTTTGAAAAGAGATGTTAAAACCACAAAAGTCAGACTGATGGTGTTTGGTCACAGACTGAGGTCGACTGCAGTGATGAAGGACGGCCTTGTTCTGACGGTTTATCTAACAGAGGTCCAACACTCTACTGTATGTACCAGGCTAATCCAGTGGTAATCGCATTAAATGTGCACCGTCATTAGCTTCGGCCCAAAGACTTACATTTCTCTGCCTTTAATTACAGTAAATACAATTTGAAAACAAAAACTCCGACTTCTCTGAAAGACCCGTGGGACATGTTTCCAGCACCTGATAATAATTTGAGCATAAAGTAATGTTGTAAATTCTGCCCCTAGTGGTTCACATCGTTATTATTATTATCAATATCCATTCATTATTTACAGTTATTTTCTTTAAAAAAAACAGTTTCTTGGTGGTAAATATTTAAACGCTTTTTCCCTGTTTATTTTAGCCAGAAACTTTAACGTGCAGAAGTCTGAAGCCATGCTGCGGAAGGTAAAAAAAAAAAAATTTTTCTTCTTATGACACTTCTGCTTCTTAAAGCAACATGACTTGTGTAATATCCACACTTGTTTTTCTTTATTTTCCCTCACTCATCTGTGTAATGTGTAAAAATGCAGTTACCACCAAGTGTTGACAGTCCCTAAGTGTGGGAGTGGCCTGTGTGGTAATGCTGGCTGTCATCACAGCAGCCTGAGATGATAAGATACAGATGTCAGGACATGATTTAGGAGAACAACACTTGCCTCCAGCTCTTCTAACACATTATTATCAATGATTTCAAAGTGCTGTTAACTTCTTGGCAGGTTTACTTTCTCAAACAAAAAAAACACAAACAAAAACGACTGCTTTTATTAGCGTTTGAATCAGTCACACAGATTGATGAAACATCAACAACCTGAAGACGCTGGTTTGGCCTTTATGGATTGTAAAATATTAACCAGTGTCTGCAGGTGTCCACATCAGTAGACAGCTGATCTGCTGCCTGCTGATGCAGCAGGTTCTACCCCGCTGTCTGTCTGAAACCTCCTGAGCTCTTTAATTCACAGATTATGTCAGATTATGTCGTGTTAATCTGCTACTGTGTTGTCCTGACCCACATTCTCGTCTTCTTTCAGCATTTGGAGTTTAGGAAACAACTGAAAGTAGACGTCATTATTACCGAATGGCGCCCACCAGAGGTGAAACACTAACGTTTGATTCAAACCAATCACACACAAGTACACACTATGCAACTGAACTAAAGCAACTGAGTGGCTGCCTTTAGGTGATAGAGAAGTACCTGTCAGGAGGGATGTGTGGCCATGACCGTGAAGGAAGCCCCATTTGGTACGATGTGATTGGACCAGTGGATCCTAAAGGCCTCTTTTTGTCCGCCTCTAAACAAGATTTCATTAAATCTAAAATCCGAGACTGTGAGATGCTGCAGAGAGAATGTAACCTCCAGTCTGAGAGGGTGAGTCAAACAGCAGCCTCAGGTTTAATTTAAGGTCACATGGACGGCCAAAGAATGAAAACTTCCAATCTTTAGGATTTCCTGATTGGCTGATTCCATTCAGTTTTTGAGTCTAAAAACTCATCTTGTCCTTTATTGTGACAGAAGGGTCACGTGACTAAACGCTCCAATCAAGGTTAACAGAAGGGAGTTTTTTTTCTCATTGACCACTGTCAGATGTTCTTAAATAAATTGTTAGATGCTTGAATACTTTTCAGAGAAAGATTATATCTTTCCTGTTTCTCTTTTTACTTCTTAGTTGGGGAGAAATGTGGAGTCGATCACCATGATTTACGATGTTGAAGGTCTAGGTCTGAAACACTTGTGGAAGCCTGCAATAGAAACATATGGAGAGGTACGGAAACACCCACACACTTAGGCATTAGGCATTCCCTAACCTTAACCGTTACAAATCTATACCTAATCTTGATCCTAACCCTAATTTTAATCCAAACATCAATTTACCCTCTTTCCTGATGGAGACCTGAAAATGTCCTCCCAAAGCCAACGAGTCCCTTTAACAAAGCATTTTAACTAAAAACCAAAAAAATGTCCCCACAAGGATAGATATACCTACATTACAAGCACACACACACATACATGCATACATGACTAATGAGTTCTTCACTGTCACCAGATTCTGCAGATGTTTGAAGACAACTACCCAGAAGGTCTAAAGAGACTGTTTGTCATAAAAGGTGATTTTTGTTTCCTGTCACAGCCAACAACTCATCACTGAATGTAATGCAGTGAGTCGTGAATGGAAAGTCATCGTTGACTCACAGAAATAACGCTGTGGTCTATGAACAGAGCATGCAGTGTGAAATGGAAAGAAAAAAAAAATCAAGCCATACATTTGCTAATAAAGGAGCAGTTACCTTTTGAAAGTGAGCCTCGAAATTTATTACACCACTCTGCTGCTCAACACCATGTATATATATGTATATCCATATAGTACGTGTATATATACATATATATGTATATACACACACACAAATATACATATATGTATGTGTACGTAAATATATTAATATATATTTATATATTTTTTTGTACAGCTCCAAAACTCTTTCCTGTGGCCTACAACCTCGTCAAGCACTTTCTGTGCGAAAACACAAGACAAAAGATTTTTATTCTCGGAGGTGAGACCCAGACCAGATCACTGGGAAGTTTGCTTTTGGTGTTGTTTTTCTGTTAAAAATAATAATCCTGTGTTTTGGCAGAGAACTGGCAGGAGGTTTTATTAAAGTACATCGACGCAGAGGAGTTACCAGTGATATACGGGGGCAAACTGACAGACCCTGATGGAGACCCTCGCTGTCGGACCATGGTGAGTCAGTGTACTCAAAACCTCTTTGCATTTGTGAGTTGACGGGACTGAGGTCACGCTGTCCACCGCAGGTGGAGTTTAAGTATTACTAGCTGCAGCACAATACTCGGTTTAACGCCAAAAGATGGAATGATGAAATGAGAGTTTCTTAGATGGCAGCGTAACCATGAAGCACCGTAGGTCAAGGACGTCATAAACCGAGGACTATTCCATATTGTATTGCACAAGAGGCGGCAAATAGTGACAAAAATAATTTAAAAAACTTCATACGCAGTTAGTTAAATAAATTAACACTACGACTGGCTAAGCACATGACCTGCGCTGGATATGTGTCTGACCCTAAACTGATCAACTCCTGTGCAATGGCTTCTCTGTGTAGACTGTAGTTTTCCATTGGTGGTTTGTGTCGCTGATGTTGCTGTTTACAAACTGCTTTGGACAGAGTCTGTGTCTGTCTGATAACACGCGTCTCAATTTGACTGGCAAATTGTGTCTATGTGACTACAACCTGCTCTATTTTTCCCTATACTTCCATAAAGATTGGATTTGGGGTTTTTTCCCCCACATAAAATAGGAAGAATGTTACGTAAAAAAATACACGTGTTGTTTTAATTTTTTGAGACAGCTGATATTTACCGTTTAAAAAGTGATGCACGAATGCATGGCTTAAAATACAGCAGGTCATTGAATACCTACAGGTGTCAGAAGCGCTCTGTCCTACAACCAGGAACTGCTGCTAGTGTGACACAGTGTGTGTTCTGGCAACAAACTGATGACTTGATAGAACTGCCTCGCTGTATAGATAGAAAGGCTTCAGCCACTGTAGGCAGTGTAGTGCTGAGAACAGCAGCTTCAGTAGTCACCTGCTCAGAGATGACGATTTAAGATGAAAAAAAAAAAATTAATGTGTGTTTGTCACTGTTTCTATAGATTAATAATTGTGCCCGGGACTGATGAGGAACTGAAGGAGGGATTTTCATTTTCAGCCTCGTTCAAGAGATGAAACAATTGACATGGACAGTCAGAATGTGTTTTTACGTTTCATTTTATAGACTTATTTCAAATGACTATTTTTAGGTAGTGGAATGTGGCGTTGACATTACTCTGTAAGGTTTTGTCATAGTACATTGGAATGTTATGTTTTTGTAGTTTTCCATATCAAACCATGATTATAAAGCTAAAAACCAGTAATGTTTCTGTTTTCTCTATTCGTTTCTTTCTTTGATTTTTCTCAACACTGTCACGTTGATACATTTTAAGATTAATTTAGACCACTAACAAACCATCCGTTTAGATGACAGTGACTTGTCACTGAGTAACGCAATTGCGTATTTTTCTTCTGGGGGAGGAGAGGGGCGCTTGTATTGTGACACACTTCATATAATTAACGCCTAATTAACATGAATCAATGTATATATGTAAATTACAGGCTGGTGATCTGCCTGCTGGGCATTGCTGCCTGACGCACCTCCACCAGTGCCTTTGTGCTGGCGTGCTCATCTGAACACCTCCTTTGGCCCCACTAGTGCCTGAGTGTCACTAGTGGTGCCAACTTACCTCAAGGATGATTTCCTTGGTATGATCATGGGGTGAGGATTAGGGCTGTGGCAGGGGAATTATTGGGGGTCATCCTTATACTTACCTTCAGGGTATGGGAAGGGGCTGAGGTAAGAGATGGGGTGGCTTACTGGACTATGGCTTTTCCTGATTAGTTGGTTGTTTTTTATAAATTGACCATCTTACTGTAAGACACATCTTCAGTAGTGGACCTTGGGGTCATCGAGTGTTTCGGCCATTATCACTAGACACTCTCTCCATAGGAAGGCCCTGCTGGGGTTGATCATGCCCCAGGGTGTTAGGTTTGTAACTAGATTTCTAACTTGATTGTAGCTAGATTCCTGACTTAGATTTTTGCGCTAGAGTTACCGTTTATTATTTAGTTATACCTATTGTGTTTACTATTGTGGGTAAATTTACGTTAAAGTGAATGGGTCATGCTTTGTTTGGCCCCCAACTCACCTCTTTCCTCCTGAGCCACAGCCAAAAGCTGCCCTTCTCTGCCTCTTCTGCCAGTTCCCTAATGGCTTTCCTGCGCCCTGCTCCTGTGCATCCCATGTCGTGGAGCAGGTGTACAGTTGAGGACCCGACGAAGCCCCTGCATCCTACTTCAACGGGGCACATGATGGTTTTCCAGCCAGCCTCTCTGCATTCTGCTGCCAAGTCTGCGTACTTTGTTGTACATGTTTCCGCTCATTGGCAGCCTCCAAGCCTTCCTCCCATGGGACGGTAAGCTCCACCATCAGAATGGTCCTGCGTGGTTCTGACCACATGATCAGATCTGGCCGGAGCAGAGTTTCTGTGATCTCCCTGGGAAATTGGAGCTGGCTCCCCAGGTCGACCCTCATTGACCACTTACTGCCTGGTGAGAGTACAGTTGGTGTTACTCTCTGGCAAGGAAGGTTGGCGTTCTCTCCGGCCTTTGCAAACCGTATCAGAGGTCTTGCTGAGGTGGAAGGTCTGTTGTTGGCCTCTTGTCTGCATGACTCCGCCACCTCTGCCAGCTTCCTTAACACCAGGTCATGACGCCACCTGTAGTGGCCTTGGGACAATGCGGTCTTACAGCCTGACAGGATATGCTGGAGGCTTGCA